TTTTTTTTTTTTTGGAGAACGGGCGAAAATCCATGCGCGCGCAGGATGTCATCCATAAAATTAAAAAAGTGTGGCCTTATGGCATTTTCCTTTCAGATGGCGTGTTTTCCTGGATAGTGAGGCTGCATTTCAATGCTTCCTGGCACGGTGGAGAGTTGTCTGTAATGTGCTGAGACGCACACCATGGCGTAAATCTGAAACACAAAAATAAGAACGCAATTACTCAAAGAGTTTTTATTATAGATACAGCATTTTGAAAAATGAGGATATGATACATAATCGTGAAAAAAATCAACATATACACGTACAAAGAGAGAGAGAGAGAGAGAAGATGAGAGAGAAATAGCACTTACATTAACAAGAACTATCACCACTGCTAAAATGAATGCTACTGCCGTGATTGGGTTGGTAAACACGAGAGCTACAAGAAAAAAGGAATAAGTATTATTTATATACCAGGCATTAAATTTTACCAAATGAACACAGTTCATCAACAGCATTTGTGTTCAACTCTGACCGTCTCGTACACGTTATGCCTTTTCACAAAATTTTACAAATCAAATTTTTCAAGGGGCAAAGGGACCCAAACGGTAATGTTAATTCCAGATACTGTTTCAGATCATTCAAGTTTTTATCATATAGAACAGTTTTGAATTGATTTTGTTTCGCCTAAAACTATACGTAGCCTCTGCATAAAATATTATAGTGGATTAATGGCAAAAGTATTATATGTAATACTTTGGCATGGACTCCTACAGTCTATGAAGTACTCAGCACTGGGTATAAAATTACTGAAGTAAAAAGAAAAATTCGGGGAAATTCTGTGCTATCAATAGTCGTGATTGGTCTAAAAGAGTTCACTACAGCCATAGGTCATTCCAATTTACTTACCAATTACAAGGAAATACTGGATCAAGTTAATCGCTTCCAACACAATGAAAACCACGGTCAAAATCATCCAAGGTAAAAACATCCCACGGATGCCCTGAAATGCGGTAAATAGAGGTAAACTCATCATTATGAACACCCCCCCCCCCTGACGTGACCTACACACTGATATATATCAGCGGGGCTCAAATAATCCACAAAAATATAATTATTCTCCTGCCCCATGCCCGACACACTCACACATCTTGTTTCCATTAAAATTGATCTCTTTTTGCAACCTTGATCTTTTTTTTTTGGATATTGATAACAGCGTATTTTAATTGCTGCCTGATAAAGGAGTTTCTAATTTTCAGAAATCAATTTTTAAAACCTGACGGAATTTCAATTAAAATAACATTCTACTCCAGGCTTATCTCAGAATGCTAACCTTAATACGATGTCTTATTATCAAGTCTCCAGATCGACATTCATAACACATTAAAACCCCATGAAACGGTGTCGTATAATCTAAACTGACAATTATGTTTTTAGCTATAAACGGCATTGAATAAAAGCAGGTTCTCTCTTTGGTTTTAGTTTATTAGCGATTCGTAACTGACCTTAACCACGCCTATGATGAGAAGAATGGAGAACAGGATCCACAGTGACATCACAGCGATTTCCGCCCAGTACAAGTAGAACCGAAATCCGTAAACAGAAGGATCATCTGAAAATAAAAAGTGTCAAGCATGATTATTAAACAGAGGTTGATTATAATTATCTAGTACGTGATACATCAGCAATAACTGTGTTCGTCATTTATCGAATAAAAATACATTAGTTATCATTGTCTAATATCAACTGATTAAGAATGTTGAGAATCTTTAAACTAAGTTAACTTACCGTAGGCTTGATACATTACACTAAGCAGGTAGCCATACAGGCCCAGCACTAAGGTCCCTATGATCTGAAACCAGACATAAAATCTTCATGTAGTACTAGTCAGCGATAAGTCCTGATAGTTTATACGTTTTGAGAATGGAAAATTAAAGAGATGGCATCTATATGTAGCTGGAGTGTAGCGCTGTAATTGTCGTATCGGGTTTTCCTACCGGTGCATTCATGAATAAGTAGTCGGGGGGG